TCTCACTCTGTCGCCCAGTCTGGAGTGCAGTGGCTGCTCCCAGCCACCGCAGCCTCGACCTGCTGGGCTCCGGCGATCCTTAGGCCTCAGCCTTCCCAGTAGCTGGAATTACAGGCATGCGCTACCACACCCGGCTGATTTTTTGATCTATTGTAGAGATGAGTTCTCGCCAAGTTGCCCAGGCGGGTCTCGAACCCGCGGGCTCAGGCAAACCACTCACCTCAGCCTTCCAAAGCGCGGGATTACAGGCTGAGCCACCGAGCCTGGCTGAAGGACTGGATTTAAAAAAATATATTTTTTATTAAATGCATTTTTCATTAAGTTCAATCATTTTTCATAAAAGTAATATGTAATCATCGGGAATTTGGAAACTACAGAAGCATTTGCTAGTTTCCTTGCCCCTTAAACTGAGCACCCTGGTGTGAGCACACTCCCTCTGGGCCTGCGGGGCTGCCTGCGTATGGGAGCTGCACTGCTCTCGAAGGCTGGCTTATTCTGGGGTAGCTCTGGGCTCATCCAGGTCTGCTTCACCCTGCCTCTGTGAGTATGTGCCTGCCCTGGCAGTCAGCTAGAACTGGCTTAAAGTAACAGGATATAGGCCCTGGGTGAGGCATAACCTTGGCGGCACCTGCTGGGCTCCTGGTGAGGTTGTCTCTCCTGAACAGTTGGGATCATCCAAAGACTGATTTTGGGGCAAATGTGGTGTTAATGAACTTTAATTTTGAAGACTGTGAAAGGGTAGAGGGCTGGTTTTCCATCATCCTTCGACATGGTCATTGCCTGCCAGCCCAGGAAAGGCAAGGTGGGCAAGGGGGCCATCCCCTTTCCAGTGAGGGCTTGGACTGAGCTCTGTGAGTCCCCATGAGCTTGGCTTGAGGGCACCCCATCTTTTGCTTTTGCAAAACATTCTGACTCCCATTACCTCCAGCATTCCTGTTACGGTGACTTATGTTAGAGAGCTCTCGATTATCCAAGGCTCTTCATGCAGATTTGACATAGGTGGTTGCATTCCAGGGGGTGCCTTGTGTGGTCAGGATGTCCTTTGCCCTCAGACCATCCCTGGTCCATCTTCCCCTCTGGGCTGGGTCCTTCCTGGCTTACAGTACACTGGGGTGTTTTTGTGTGCCGTGAGCCTGTGGATTAGTAAAGGGTGTTGGAGGGCATGGGGGATGATGTTGAAGCTTTTCATAGGAAACACCTGCCCCAAGTGTGCTCTTAAGACAGTGGGTCTGTATCTCCCCTTCTCCTCCTCTTTTCCAAATGCTGGCTTGCCATTGAGGGTCTCTGGTGCAAACAGGGTCTGTGTGGTGCTGCCCTGGCCTTGTGGTGGGCAGCAGCCCCAGTCCCACTGAGTGCCAAGAGTGCCCGTACCCTCCTTGCAGGTCTGGCTGTGGGTCTGGGCTTTGGGGCACTAGCCGAGGTCGCCAAGAAGAGCCTTCGCTCCGAGGACCCCTCAGGTGAGCTGGGCCTTCAGGTGAGAAGGGCAGGGTGAACCCTGGGAGAATCAAACCTGTCAGCCCCCAGACCCTAGGGTGCCAAGCACCCGAGGGGCATGACTTCCACCCCTGGGGTGGTGAGGCTGTTCACAGATGGCGTTACCTGCTTTCAAGGGGTTTGAGACTGGAAGGCCACTCCCCCTCCAGCCTGTTCCTGGGTCCTGTGGCTGCTCCCCCAACACCTGCACACCTACTTTTTGCTCTGTACTCACTTCCTGCCCTGCTTCCTGGGGAGCCACTGGGGTCCCTGGTCTGGCGGGGTCAAGTGCCCAGGGCAGGTGAGGGCTGGGACATGGGTGACAGGGGATGGGGGCTGTGTGTGCTGCCAGGACAGACTGCACAGGGCCCTCCTCACAGATAGACGGGCCTGGGGAGGCTGTGGCCTCTTCAGAGAGACTCTGACTCTGAGGCAAAGATCACAACCCCTCGCCCTCTGCTGCCCAGCGTCAGGGGTCAGGTCAGGCCCCTCATCCCACCTGGCTCAGCGTGGGCCTGGGCCTTTGGAGAGGGTTCTGCATTTTGTCCACACTGAGACTTTGGGGTGTCTGCGTAGCGGGGCAGTCGCTGCAGGCCATCTGCCTCCTCCCTGGTAGGTACCTGTCTGACCCCTTCCCCAAAGTTCTCCAGGTTTGGGGTGGGCTAGGTGAGGGTGGAGTCTGCCCAGTGGGGGCTTTCCTTTTGCGGGGCCGGGGGCTGTGGAGAGCAGGGCTGGCAGAGCCAGCTGCTTGGTGGATTTCCCAGAATGCGTTTGCAGTTCTGGGCTGGGTCCTCATGCCCCTGGCCCATTCAGGAAATGTCATTCTGGTGTCTCACACCGCCACCCTCATCCATGGGGACCCCTGGTGACACCTGCTTTCCTGCCTCACTGCAAGCCCCACAGCCCTTACCCAGCCTGGGGCCAGGCTTCCCTGGGGGGCCTGTGGGGGGCCTAACCACCTGGACAACCCCTTGTTCACCCACAAGACTCTCCTTCCTGGAGAGAGTGCACCAGCCCATCTCCACAGCCCCTGACCAAGTACTGGGGACATAGGGCACCACATATGCCCTTGGAAGGGCCCGGAGAACAAAGGGTTTAGCAAGTGTATTTTTAGTGTTGGTGCTGAAACCCTCTGGGACATGAAGCCTGAGTTTCTCTGGAAGGAGGAGCCAGCCTTCCTCAGGCCCAACACCCCTGCTGTCTCCCACAACGCTGGCTACTCTCCATCCTGCCTCTCCACCGCCCTGGCTAAGCTTTGCCTGGGAGAACCTCTTCTGAGTTGGAGATGTGCCAGACATGCCACTATGCCCAAGGTTACTCTTGCAGCCAGCTATGCCTGGGGCAGGGAACATGCCTCTGGCCTTTGAGGATTGGCCAGCTTTGGGGAAAGGCTGCTTGGGAAAGCCCAGATTGGGCCAGTCAGCCCAAGCCTGGTCAGTGTGTCATTAGGAGACGCTCCCTCTCGCCAAGGCCTCCCTTTTCCTGCCTCTCCCCCCGATCCTCCAGCCCTCAAGTGCCCCAGGAGCTGGGGGGGCAGAGGGGATGTCGAGGGCTGCCCTTTCCTGGGAGCTGGCCCCCTGCTGCTGCCTGAGGCGAGCAGTGACCCAGTGGCCCTTCTGGGCCCAGCTGTTTTGGATTGGCCCACCCATGAGTCTCAGCTCGGCCTCTTCCCATGAGCTACCCTCTCACTTTCTAGGACCCTTCCTGCTGTCTGGGACTCCGGAGTGAGCCTGACCGCTTTTCACACAGTGTCTGCCGATGGTGTGGACCCTGGGTTCTGAGGCTCCTCCTCCCCGGGGCCTGCAGCGCTTCCAGCCCCCAGGGCAGCCAACCCCGCCTTGGTTTTCCAGAGGCCAGGCTGGACTCGGCCCCAGGGCACAGGCAGTGGCATGGTTACCTCCCCTGTTCCCTTGTTGAGAATCTGGCTCATTTCACGCTGAGCACTGTGCCACGCTGTGGTGGCGGTGCTGGGGCAAGTGCTGGTGGCTGCAGGGGCTAGAGAGGCGGAAGTGGCACTAACTGGGCTAGACAGAGCTAGCCTCACAGGCAGAGGGCAGGAAAGCCCAGATGTCATAAGGGCTGGAGGCCCAGCGAAGAGGGGTGTGAGGAGCTCAGAGAAGGCAGAGGGACCTGGTGCCTTCAGTCCCTGCTCAGCCTCTCTCTGACTCCAGACAAGGGTGGACTCCGCTCTTAGGGCCCTGCTGAGCAGATGTGGAGGGGGCACTGAACCAGAGAGGGACCTCACCCCTTGCCTACACCGCTGGCGAGGAGCAGCACTCAGCCTTCCCTGTAGCTCCTTTGAGTCATCGCCCCGCACTCCCCTGACCCCCCATGTACTGGACAAAGGTCACCCGCACCGTTGGTGTTTGCCACTGGCCAGCTGGCTGCAGTGGACAGAGGGGAGAGGCAGACAGGTGCCTACTGGCGGTTGCCGTTCTTGACCCTGAGCTCCTGCCCCCGAGAAGGGGACACTTACGCAGCCACTCGGCCCAGCACGGCAAATGCACACCCAGCCCAGGGGTGCAGAGGACCTTCGTTCTGTACACTGGATGGGGGGTGCAGGGGAAAGACTTTGCACCTCCTCACCTGGAGCGCTGCCGACTGGGCCCCTCCCTTCCAGTTCTGCCCCCACCACCGGCTGAAGTGCGCTTTCAAGGCGCTCTTTCAGTCTCAGGTCCCCAGGGACTGATGCAGAGGGGAGAGGCCCTGTGTGCGTGTGCACACGTGTATATGTGGTGCACACGTGTATATGTGTGCACATATGTACACGTGCGTGCGCTTGTGTGCATCGGAGGCGTTGGGTAGGGCCCGGGGTCGGCTCATGCCTGGGGGACGTGGGGTTAAAGCATGGCGGCTTTCTGGACACCTGGGAGGGCACAGACCCTGCCTGAACCGC